GAGATCAAAGAAGCGCAAGGAAATGTTACTCGAACTTCCTGCGAAAAGTCGAACCAAGAAGCGTCAATGTAATCACAATAGACATTGACATGGACAACATCCCTGAACAAGGGAGAAACCCTGAATAAGGGAAAGACATCGAAATGATGGATGTCTATGAAGAAAGGGAATGTTACTCAAAATTTGTTGAGGTACACGACCTCCTAACACTTATGCTAAGTTATAAGTTTGATTTCATCCATTGAGATTCGATGTGCTTAAGTTCTTAAATTTGTTGAGGTACATGACCTCCTAACACTTATGCTAAGTTGTAAGTTTGATTCCATACATTGAAGTTCGATGTACTTAAGTTCTGAAATTTGTTAAGATGCACGACCTCTTAACACTTCGACAAAATTGCAAGTTTGGTTTTAATTGATGAAGTCCATGGCACATGAATTTGTTATTATAAATCTTAAGTGGTTAAAGAATTTCAGTTTGATTCTATTGTACATAAGTTCGATGTTATCACAAGTCTAATGTAGTTCTTAGTTTGATGTTGCTTTGAGTTTAAAATGTTCAAACCATAGTAACAAACACGTCAGTACACAATCAGCAGAAGTAGTAAAAAGGCAGAACTGAAAAACGAAAAGGAGTCAAAACAACATTAGCGAGGAACTGTTTCTCAGCATCACTACCAGCAGACTGAGCCTTATCCCTGGCAGTTTCCATTTCTTTAGTCAAACCGGCTACCTTGGAGTTGAACTCTCCCCACTGTCCTTTCAACGATGAGTTCTCTTTATTGTCCTTCTCTAAAGCCTCAGTTTCCAGCCTCTGATGGGTATCAGAAGTCTCCACTCACTTTGTTAAAGAGGCTACCTCGCTTTAGGATAGGTGAATCTCCTTTTTCAAATTCTCAATTTCTGCTAAGACAGAAGCAAGCTTCAGAGACTCTTTCGCCTTCTCCTTCTTCAATGCCTATGCCTTGGCCTTGCTAGTAGCCTCCTCAGCTTAAGAGGCTTTATTGGCAAACTCTTTATTTTTTAATAGAATGTTTTTATAGAGGGCTTTAGCCTCTATGGCCACACAAAAGGCCCTCCCTACCGGCTCATTATCGTGGATAAGACGTCCACTGCATCGCTGATCTCCACAAAGTCTTGCCACCTCTTTGTACAATACTTGTGAAAGGTGGCTGTGGTAATTTAGACCTTCGGAGAAAGAAGAGAAAGACTTTGAAGAACTGACTCTTCGCTCCAAGTCTTGACGACTAGCCTCTTCCTTGAGAGAGCCTCTGAAGCTGTCGAGTCGTGGCGGACTTGGACCTTTTTGAAGGTTTGTGCTACCCCTTGTGGCCATTAAGCAGAACTCTTCAAAAAATTTCCTTAAAATAATGAACCGGTTAAAGTCTCGCGAGGAGGAGGATCGACGAAATATACCAGCAAGAATGTTCCAATCACTTTTAGTGAGGTCAAAGCACTCAACCGACCCTACAAGATAACAAAGATATATACCAGCAATAGTGTTCCAATCACTCTCAGTCGAAGAAAAGAAAAGACAAAAGACAACACTTACTGCCTTCAGAGTAGGCAGTTAGGATTTTGACGTATGGGACAGTATCTCCCACACACTGCTACCACTTTTCCCAGACCCTAAACCACGTCTCTTTCCATCATATGATGGAGGAAGGTAGGCCCAAAAAAAAAGAAGGAGTGTGACCCCCACGGACACAAGGAATACCACCACCTAGAATCTCCTTTACCTAAAATGCAAGGTTGGAAAACTGACTTTAAGACATGAAAGGACATGTCCTAGCCCATGGAGGTCTCCTTCCAAAGGAAGTACACCCCCACCAACTAGACCCAAGAGTTAGGGGAGAGTTGGGTGGTGGCCAGCCTGTACAACCTAAGGATAGCCCAGAAAAAGGGGTGAACAGGTAGACGAAGCCCAGCCTTTAAAAGAAACTTGCTGGTGGCAACACAACCTAGCATAAGATAGTAGGCTCTTTCATCAAGAGTGGGGAGAGAAGTTCTATGTCATAGGGGTCATTTATTTTTGTTTTCTAAGGTTTACTAAGTGGGACGGATCTACAAAGGAAGGATTTTGGCTGCACCCAGGCGATACCAGTATCTCTTACCCTCCCCAATTGCAGCAATGCTACGCCCTGCTTGAATTACCCTAACCAGGTCAGCTATGTTGGTAATTTGTACCCCCATCTCACTAGCCAGGTCACTCAAATCGATGTCACCCTCAAAAGTAAAGGATGCTATTGATTAAAATCCTTTAAAAGAAAAGATAAAATAGCAAATACTTATGAGTTGAAGAAGATGGTGAATGATGAAACACCAAAAGAAAGAGTTGCAAAAACACCAGGAAAGGCGAGAAAAACAAGGAAAAAGAAAAGTTAAAATCCAGGAAGAAAAGCAGAAAGCTCTTAGGAAACCTTGGAGAAAAAACTAGAGATTTCAAAGAATGCTAACACTGGATTCATAATAAGCAAAAGTGGTTAAATGTTTGCCTTTTATAGGCGTGGCCTCTTAATCCCAGCCATTAGATGTCAATCTGGGTAATCTGACCGTTCGTTTGAAGATTAAATTTGAGCCATTCATCACGTATGCCAGTTTATCTTTTGTGGCTCAAATCAGAATGTCTGTTCCACGCGCCCTCATGCTCCTGAAGTTCTCAAAACATGTAGGAGACAACCATCATTGCGCATAAAATACGGTGACATTTGTTTGCATAGGAACTTGAACCACTTCAGCTGTCTTTTCTTGAAAATGTATCACGACAGCAAATCATTTGGCGTAATGACTAAAGAAGCCTCGTAATTATCAATACTGATGCCAGAAGGGGATCAGACCTAACCATTTTCATCCAGTTCAGATGAAGCTTTAGCTTAGCAAAAGCACTTCGAGCAAGACAATCTCGAAATTTCTCTGCTTTGCTGACTCTTTTTCCCAAATGGTCCTAGGTGGTAAAATATTCCTAAGTAAATAAATTCAAAACAAGGTTGTTAGGAGGTTTGCACAAGTTGAACATATCGGAGATTACAGCTTGATGCAAGTCACCCACTAATGAAACATTATCTACTTCCAAAGTCCATGTGTTACATAAATAAACATGCCTAAACTTGGTAGACTATTTTCACGCTTCGCCACAGAGGCTCAAAGTCAAATATGCCACGTAGACATAAAGTTAATAGAAAAGCCAACAAAGACCCAAGTGGTCAAAATAAAGCGAAGTTGTGCAGATTATCGAGGTTCTGCCTCACCTAGCGAAGCACTACACCTGGGATAAGACGATGCTTAAAGAAACGAAGAAGGAACTAAAACTCTCTACTCAAAGGACCAGTTCCAAAGCTCTCAGTACATCCGAAGCTCATAAGTAGATGTCGTCTCTTGCAAGTTATTTGATTATCTATTAGAAACTATTGATGTAACACTTGTAATAAAGGATGTCAGGGTGTCAGTATATTGTGTAGGGCTGCTGACCCTTTATAATTGTATTAATTATTTGAATAGACAATGATGGCATGTCTCAATTTAGGAGATGAGAATACGTGGTTCTGATCTAACAGATACCAATTCGGCCAAGGCTTCTTTGTAATTTAGAAGGGATTGGAAAAATTGGAGTTAGAATTATCATCTTATCATGTCTTGAACTCTCAAATATGGAATCAAGAAGAAATATGACCAAATTTTCTTACAAACGATTGTGTTTCCATTGCATCATACACTTAGCATAAAAATTGTATAAGTCGATGGTCTTATAATCTACAATATTCTTTTGTTTTCTATCATTCCACATATTCTAGTAAGATCTTTGGTTAGTAGTTTTGTTCTCGTTTGGTGATCATTGTTAGCGTGATCACCTTTGTTTCACCTATTGGAGCTCGAACATCTTTATCTCTCGTGAAACACTCCCCGCATCCAAATCTGTCTCATTTCTCACCGTTTCTCCGGTAGAAACGCGTTGGAATTGGTTCGATGTGGCGAGAGTTGGCCGACATCCGTTGGCTCATTTTCTGGATCAACACACATGAAACATGAAAATGGCCGTCAATAGCTCAATAATTTGCAATAAGAATACTAGTTGATCATCTACTATAAGTTAATGACAAAGAAGTACAGGACAAACGTCACAAAAGAACAAAACTCAATGAAAATCTTAGGGGCTGTTCTCTTCATGTTTCAGTTTTGTGTTTTGAGTTTTGATTTCATTTTATGTATTGTGTTTTGAGTGTCTGTTTTGAAATTGTTGAAAATGCGTTCTTTTTGTTATTTTGAAAAACGGTTTCTGAAAACAGACAAATGGAAAACGCGTTTACTTTGAAATTTTGAGAATTTTTTTTTTATAATGTTTTATTCAAGAAATCTGATTATTCATAAATTTTAATAGTTTAATACTCAGATAGTATTAAATAACATATAAAATTTGAAGATGGTGAATCTTAAAATATTTTTTTCCTGATATAAAAAACACACCCTAAATTAAATTAGGCAAAACATGTCA